ATTTTCACAAGGGGAAATGCATCACAGAGAAAATGGTCAAGGATATTAGAGTCACAGAATTCCAATTTTAAAACCAAGATGAGTGGTGGAATTATTACGGATAAACCAGACAGCCAACAACAGACAATGAGAACCCAACAGACTCTGCTGCTCATGATGGTCACATAATGTAAAGGCTTGCAGATGGCCACGTAGCGGTCATAGGACATGGCGGCCAAGAGGAAAAACTCTGTGACTGCACAGAGGTAGGTAAAAAACACTTCAATAATACAGGCATTATAGGTAATGACCTTGTCCCCCGTTGCTATGCTATACAAGTATCTAGGGATACAAGCAGAGGTGAAGGAGATTTCCAAAAAGGAGAAGTTTTTTAAGAAAAAGTACATCGGTGTTTTCAGGTGAGAATCCACAAAGGTGAGTGTGATGATGGTCAGGTTCCCGGTTACACTCAGCATGTAGGTGAGAAGGAGAAAGATGAACATCAGAACCTGCAGCTCAGGGTCATCGGTCAGTCCCAGCAGAATGAACGTTGTCACTGTGCCATTTTTCATCACTGACCTTTGACTTCTGGCCAATCTGTATGTGATATTCAGAGAAAAATTCTTAAATATTCAGAAAAGTTACAATATGGACTTTTATTTTATTTTATTGTTGTAAAAGTCTTATTCCCTCCTTTGATTCAGATTTTCCATGTAGTTATAGCGGACAACTGAAAGGTTATTTTTTACAAGTATTAATAAGTTCATTCAGCTCTCAATAATTCACCACTATTGATAAATTAGATCATAAAATTTCACGATTGCTGTCATTTTTTCTTGATATTTGAGTCTTTAAATATTTGAATTGAAACAATACAAATGCATAGTAAACTACTAGAATGGCCTAGGAACAATCAAAACCACTTTTGCATCTGTGATATTGTCTTTGAAGATGTACAGCCAGAATGCTGAGGCCAACTTGTCTCATGAACTTGGGGCATGTTACGAGGAGAGGGCAATGCCTGAAGAAGCACATCATACTTGGTAGAGGCTCGAGGACAGAGTGGAAGATTCTGAAGAAAATGGACTGATATGAGTTGAAATCCATGTTATGATATCAACGAACAAACAATAATATACAATAGATAACTTGAGTTTACTATACAAACTCTGAAGCAAAGCTTGAAGTCTTTATTCTGAAAAAATATTTCATTTAGCTTTGCGTGTAGGTCAATGTATTTATTTTTGTGAACAAGAATAACCCCTGCTGCTCCACCAAATACAATCTAGTTTTTTGTTTCTGCTTATGTGCTTTTTATATACATTAATTCATTACTGGCAAAATGATGACTGCCTTTGCTTTTCTCTCTGATCTTCCATTCAAACAGATTATTTCTATTTCTGTTTTTTTCAGCTTCTTCCCACTAATAGATAAATAATCCATAAGTTAAACACCTATTGATTTTAATTTTTGATAAACTTCTCTACAGATATCTTTTACACTTCAACCATTAATTTATATAGCATAAGGTATTTAAAAGTTTCCATTGTATAGATAATACCTCAAGGCTTAAAGTTTTCTCATATCAGTGAATAGAAAATGTTTCCCTTGTGCACCAAATTTATTTGTTTTATTATGTAATGTCTTGTGTCCTTAAGGAGAAAAAGGCAGAATTAACTATTAATATTTCCCCTATTCACAGTGTTACTGAGGTAAGGAAGAGTGCATAATTTATCTGAAACTTTAAATAGTCAAATTGAGTTTAACCTCTAATTTAAATATTACTGATTGATTATAACTTAGTCCAATAGCTTGTGCCTATGTTTTTTTGCCAACTGCAATTGCTCCCTCGTCCCTCTTATGCCCTCCTTCAACACTTTATCAGTGTGATTTGCAGTGTTATTTATAGTAACGTGAAGAAATGAGCATGGTGCTTAAAAAACACTTGGTGGGGGGCATAGTAGCGCAAGTAAATATACAAAGTAATGTGTGATACTTGTATAAAACACAGAATATCACATGGAAATGTAGAAGGAATATGTTTTGGGAGCCTCTTTTGCCTCTAATAATTTTCTGAGTTTCTCAGGTAACATGTTCATCACCGTGGAACCTTACTCAGTTCTTTAGACTGTGTGCATTGTTCAGCCTTCCAAATATATCTTTTTTTCTCCCAATACATTATCGTTGTTGGTAATTGGGCTGATGGGTGAAATTGAGTTAACAATTTAAAATATAATAAAGTTAATATGAGTCTTGATGAAATCGTAGGTTATGTATTTAACTGCTAACTACAAGGTCAGTGATTTGAATCTCTAAGTTATTCAGAGGGAGAACAATGAGACTGTTTACTATCATAATAAAATCATAGTCTAAGAAACCCACAGGGCCAGTTCTACTCTCATCAATAGGTCAGTGTACATGAGATTTTCTTAAAGAAACGTTATTATGCAGGTTTAACCTGATTTCTGTAATTCTCTCTTTCAATCAATGTTCAAAATGGACACAGGGACCTGTACTAAGTTCTTTCCATCTCATTCACTATAGTTTTCTTTTGGAGTCAGGAGTACCGTGTCATGTTTATATACTTTTGGACATACAAAGATATTTCACTGTTGAGTTTCCATTGATATTTCTTAAATTAAATCAGATTCAAATTGTACATACTATTCATAAAACCCTTGTAAACCATGGCATTGATCAATATAAGAAAACTTCATTCCAAAAAGTGATATTTCATATCTAAGGCACATAGTAAAGTATCAACTATCCTGCAATTCCATTCCAATTTCCACAAAAAAATATGGCCTACATCCTACTAAGGGATTTGTAATCAAAGAGACAAACTGTTATACTTACTTGTCTGTTAGTAAATAAGAATTTTTGTTAGTTTTGAAGCATAGCAATATTAAGACTGAAATGGTGAAAGTAATAGTTTTATAAAAAGTTTCATGTCTTTATAATCTCTCACAGGTTCAGCAATGAATGGTACTCCCAGCAATTTTCAACCCCAACAAAGTGGACAGGCTGTCACAAAAGGTGTAGGGCAATTATCAGCCCACTAGTAGATTCTTCTGGCTCCATCATAGAATAAAAAATAAATTACTCTAAGGAATGGGAAATATCAGGGATTCTATCTATTGTTGAAGGAGACAATAATGTAAAAAAAAAATCATGAGAGCAAGAAATACTTTTACAATGTCAAGTAGAGCCCTTTGTAAAACAAATGCAGCTGAACTTGCCTCAAAGTGAAAATATATAAAGCATCCCTGGTGAGTACATTCAAGAGACGTGAATGCACTTTCTGAGTAATAAAATTTGGCACCGCTCAAGTGAAATAAGCTTCAGGGTAACTGTGTCCTTGGAGACAGCAGGACATACGGTAGTATCAGACACATGGGAAGGAAGACAGTATATTATTTAAATTACATAGTTAATCTAAAAGAATCATAGATCTACTAAAGAACTTGAAGATTTTACATTCCTTATAATGGCAGTATAGTTATTCATTTTATTATAATATAGAATTATTTATTATCATTGTATAATTTTACTCAGATATGCAAAAGAAAAATTTATATAGTCATATAAGAGATTTTTCCCATTACAACCTTATATTTCCAACTTTTAATTTCTCCAAATATACTATTATTACCATTACTCATCCATACATATGTATTTGTAACTACATCTTTTAACTGGATGCAAAAATATGCTCTTATATATTTAAATATATCTTAATGTATTACAAAATACACATTTATGTTCTTGTTAATTTTAAACTATTAGGAAAACTATTCATTTGGTTATTTACCCTGCATTAAATCAATCCTTGAATTATGTTTTTAATGTTCTCCATTTTTCATTATCATTAACCATTCTATCAAAAATCTCCATGAACTAACTTTCTAGAAAAAAGGTTATTTCATACTTAGAAATGTTGGTTAATGTCAAAAAGGACCCATAAGATTAGCTTAGCTCAGACATTTGCTAATTAAGTCATGAGAGAACCTTATTTTTGTTTCACCCCCGTTCATATTTTATTCTTTTAAATATGTTAAATATGTATTTTAACATGAGAAGTCACTTTAGAAATTATCGATGATATTTAGATTGAGTTAATGGTTTTATAAATCAGATCTATCAACTTTTTCAAAAAATTTTTTCTTTTAATAGTTGAGAGACATGTAAGTCTTTTGATTTAGTCCGTGAAGGCTTTTAAAACTTGGTTGTTTCCTTGGGGTATAAATGAATGGATTTAAAGTAGGATAAATAGAAGAAATGAAGAGTGAAACAACTTTTTTTAACAATCACCTCTTTCTTTGTTAAAAGATTCATATAAATAATAATACACATAGCATAGGCAATAGAAACTACAACCATGTGGCAAGAACAGGTTGAAAAGGTTTTTTTCCTTTTGCTATCAGAAGGGCATATAAATACTGTCTTGATGGTACTACATATGACAGAAATACAGTAGTAAGAGTCATGTTTAGGGTCAGCAGAGCACAAATGTTCACTGTTCCATGAACCATGTCTGAGCATGTGGTTTTCACAAGGGGAAATTCCTTCACAGGCAAATTGATCCAGCACATTAGAGTCACATAATTCTATATTTAAATCAAGGCTACCAGGTGGTCTTATTATAGATAAACCTGTTACTTAATAACAGAAAATGAGAATCCTACAGACTCTGCAGTATATGGTGATCATGTGATGCAAAGGTTTGTAGATGACCAGATAGAGATGGGAGGACAATGGCGGCCAAGAGGAAAAACTCTGTTATTGCACAGAGATTGGTAAAACACACTTGGATCATAGAGGTATTATACGTAATGACCTTGTCACCAGTTACTATGGTATACAAGTATGCAGGAATACAAGCATAGGTAAATGATATTTCTATAAAGGACAAGTTTTTAAAAAGTACATAGGTACTTTCAGTTGAGAATCCACAAAAGTTTTAAAGACAAAGAACATCGGTGTTTTCAGGTGAGAATCCACAAAGGTGAATGTGATGATGGTCAGGTTCCCGGTTACACTCAGCATGTAGGTGAGAAGGAGAAAGATGAACATCAGAACCTGCAGCTCAGGGTCATCGGTCAGTCCCAGCAGAATGAACGTTGTAATCCTATTGTCTCTCATCACCGATTTCTGGCTTTTGTCCAATCATATATGGCATTCAGGGAAAATTTCTTATAAAATGTTTAAAAACTCAGTATCTTTCAGTTTATAATCTCCATTCCCATTTTGTATGTGTTACTTCCATCTTCTGTTAGGGGTTTCAGCATATGACTACTGCTAAGGTTAATTTTGTAGGTAACAATAATTTCCTTTGAAGCCCAACAATTCTTCCCTTTTCGCAAACAAAAACCTAAACTTTTGCCATTGAAGTTATGTTATTTTCAGGTGCGTTTAAGTTGTTGTTCTTACACTGTTAATATATAACAGATCCTTTGGCCTCACTGTGCAGTCTTTATCGCAGAGCTTGCCTCTAGAAGGGAGCTCCTTACTGGCTTGGCATTACATATACTGCGGATTTAAGTGAAAACGCACCTCCTTCGTCCTTGATCCTACAGTCAAATCGTGTAGT